GCTAAGGCACCAGCCACATACACCAGGACTGGTGGGTTCAAATCCAGCCCGGGCCTGCCAAACAATGACAACCACAACCAAAAAACAGCTAGGGGTTATGGTGGGCGCCTATAGTCCCAGCTACTTGGGAGGCTGAGGCAAGAAAATTGCTTGAGCCCAGGAGTTGGAGATTGCTGTGAGCTGTGACACCACAGCACTCTACCCAGGGCAATAGCTTAAGGCTCTGTTTCAAAAAAAGAAAAAAAAAATCTTAATGAAAAAAATAGCACATGAACACAGTATCATCTACTCCAAAAGAAAACTGAACTATCATAGGGGAATGTCTTTTACAGTACAATTCCATTAAACCAGTGACACTAGAGTTAGAATGAAAGAGAGATCACTCTAACACTGAAATATAATCAGAGCATTCTTTCTAAGGGGTGCTTGTTCAAACCAGAGACTTCATATGGATGAACTCTCACAATGTTACAGATCATTAACAAGCTAGTTAACTCCCATGATGAAACTATGGAAGCCAGAAAACTGAAGAGTCAGCCACAGCAAGCACTGAACCCTGACATAGTTGCATAATGTCTGGTGCATACACTGGTCTGCACACAAAAGAGATAGAAACATCAATGAGACAAATATACATCTGACAAAGTATTTATCTAGAAAAAATAATAAAAATCCAAACTAGTAACATTTCTGAAAAAGGACCATCACAAACAATGATGAATAACAAAGAAAAGTTTTTGGTTATTTCAACTTACTTTCCAACTTACAAATCAAGTATGCCTATTCTTCCTGAGTGGCCTGGATGACACTTTAGTAAGTACCTATTATATCTTTATCTCATGGCCCACATCACACACAAAGTCAAATATAATCTAACAAGTACTTGAAGATTTAGCAGAAAAAATATTCAATTTAACTTACACTCCAAAATTTGGCATTATTCATCTGAATCTTATTGGAGCCCTTGTCAAGTAACTTTAGGCCAGTCACATGAATAATTTTTGGCCTCACTTTCCTTGCCCTTAATAGTAAGAAGATTAAACTAAATCACCAAGTCTCAAAAAAGATAGAGAAGCCAGACACAGTGGTCGACACCTGTAATCCTAGCACTTTAGGAGGCCAAGGTAAAAAAGACTGCTTGAGGTCAGGAGTTTGAGACCAATCTAAGTGAGAGCAAAATCCAGTCTCTACAAAAAGCACAAAAATTAGCCAGGCATTGGACTGTGCCTGTGGCTCAAAGGAGTAGGGCACCAGCCCCATATGTCAGAGGTGGTGAGTTCAAACCCAGCCTGGGCCAAAAACTGGAAAAAAAAAAGAAAGAAAGAAAAGAAAAAGAAAAAAAATTAGCTAGGAACGATGGCACATAACTGGGTAGTCCCAGCTCCTATGAAGGCTGAGGCAGGAAGACTGCTTAAGCCCAGGATTTTTTTTTTTTTTTT